CGCGACTTCAGTTTAGGGGTTCAGCCTCGACGGTGCCCCCGCCGCAGCACATGCGATGGGTGGTCCGAGCTTTCTTTACCCCTGGACCAGGAACAAGTCTCTCTCATTTTGGCAAAACACCATGATGACCACGTTTTCCTCTCCGGGTTCTGCTTCCCCTTCCGCCCCTAACAGTCAAGAGACGCCCGGCCACGATACATCAGTGTCGGCTGTCGGTTTGTGGATGCTGCTGTTGCTCCTACCGCCGCTCACCACATGTTCCTCGTGGCCCTCCTCCGTCATGGCCTTCGCCTGCTGCTCCCCCTGGCGATAGTTTCCACGTTCTACCTCTATCTGTATCCTGTCTTTCTGGGATGCGCCTTTCCTTTACCCCTGACCGCCGCGATCACCAACACCACCCGCGGCCTTGAGACACCTTCCAAGTCGGCAGCCGGGCTGCCAGCTTTCCTCGAGACACTACACCAACATGTCCCTAATCTTCCGATCCCATCCCGCACCGATGCGCAACCGGCACCATTCCGACTCCTCGCACTCGGCGATCCCCAGCTCGAGGGCGATTCCTCCATTCCCAACTCGAAAGGCCCTCGCGTGCCGCACCTTCAGAGCCTCTACCGCCACGTCACCTACAAGACGGCGCATTCGTCGCTGCGCGAGCGCATCCGCCAGGCGCTCCACGACTGGATCGACTTTGTCTTTGAAGACGTCTTCGTCGAGCTAGAATCCCTGCGCAAGCACATCGACCTCTTCGGCAACGACTTTTACCTCGCCCACATCTACAGAACGGTCCACTGGTGGACCAAGCCCACACATCTGACCGTGCTCGGCGACCTGCTGGGCAGCCAGTGGGTCAAGGATGACGAGTTTCAGCGACGCGCAGGGCGGTTCTGGAACCGCGTCTTCCGCGGCACCGAGCGCGTGCCCGACGAGACGGCCGTCTATCCGGCCATGGACTACGACCTGTCGGCCATCATGGGCAACGAGGGCGAGGAGGCCGTCTGGCAGCGGCGCGTCATCAACGTCGTCGGCAACCACGACATTGGCTACGCCGGCGACATCAACGAAGACCGCTTGCACCGCTTCGAAAAGGCCTTTGGCAAGGCCAACTACGAGCTTCGCTTCGAGCTGGGCCGCCAGGACCCCACCGCTAACGCACCCTCTACGACGAGGCGACGAACCCGACCTCCGACCGCCTGCCGCCCGAGCTGCGCGTCGTCGTGCTCAACGACATGAACCTCGACACGCCGGCGCGCGACGCCAAGCTGCAGGACGACACGTACAAGTTCATCAACGACGTCATCGCAC